CACTACATTTTGACCAGCCAGCCAGTTTTACATTTTGGCGAGCTAATCCAGACTTCTATATCTGCGATATATCCATTTATTCCATCTAAATGCTAATTTTTAACAAAATTACGCATTTTCTCTGTGTTTCACTTTGATGTCTTATTTTGAAAATCGGAAGTTGTTCTACACTAAACTCATTCCTCTTGGACACGTCCGGGGGAAGATTTTTCTGTAGAATCTCCGATCACAAATTAACCACAAATTTAGCAAATCCTGTGAATTTTCCCATCTTCGCCCTTCGGTGAGAGGCTGGATGAGTGGGGTCTTTCACTATATTCTGTCCATTTTGACGAGACATCGTGTCTCTGAACTCTTCAGGTCGGAAATTTAACTTTCCGCTCTGATTCCTCTGGTGAGCTAACAGCTAGCCGCTTGATTCAAGTAACTTTCCCTTTGCCTAAAGGTGAGACCTTCGTCACGGTGTTTTGGACACCGTGTGCAAGCAATTCTAAAATCGGAGATAACTTCATCCCCGTCGGAATATTATTCCGTTCGGCAAGCGTCTGATCCACGTTTTGTTTTTTTTCCGGTGAATCTCGCGTGCAGTAATAGTTTGCTTAACTTGCGAATATTAATCTCGCTGTAAGACGAAACACGCTGGAGAGCGTATCTGCACCCTAGAGTGGGAACGCTAAGGACCCTAAACATTACCTCGTCGCTAAGGGATGTTTGGTTAATTGGGCAATTTTTGATTCTGGTCGCTCCAGACACTCACAGGCTTAGCCGAAGAGCTAAGTAGCCACTCCGGTTTACGCTCGGGTTACGCGTCCCGATAAGCAGTCAAACCGTTCTGTCGCAGTGCTTCTGCGTCCTAAAATCCGCTTTAGCGGCGGTTCTTGTAAATCACTCCGGTGTGTAGAATCGACTTTTTGCTACGTGGCCTTCCGTCGGAGTAAAACGGGAAGTTTTATCCGTAAAATACCATCACAACCGCGTAGGTTTGCTCTCTATTTGGGCCGGTGAAAAAGGTTCAGGCTTCCCAGCCTCCAATCTGCCGGTTCCATGCCTTTTTCTTCCATCTTGTGGTGAAGTTGTGTTACATTCATTTCTCTATCAACAATTCCTTGTTTTACCCTGTGCCATAAAGTTAAGTTTTCACCACGGGCAGTCATTAATTGTGAGATGAATTAAGGGGCTGAACCGGGTGTTATACGTGGGCTCAGAAGGTAAAAAACGCGATTTGCTCTGTATTTAGTGAGAAATGGACGAGACACGACAAAATCTTTCTTGTACTGTTACACCTGATGTAAGGTTCTCTAATGTTCTGCTTACGGAACACACCAAGATACAGGAGACTGTTTACCGGCCGGACCACGCTGATCCCGCCGCGTACGCGGACAGCCAACCCGCATTAGCTGGGAGCCGCCGGTCTGGTGCGGTGGGGGTACGGACTTTGGAGCCCAAAGGCCCGGACCTGGGGACGAGTGACGGCGATTCGGTACCAGCTACACTGGGTCAGAAGTTGTTCTGCTACGCACTTCCTAAAGTGAACTTAAACACTGTGATGTTTTCAGTCAACATGCTATTTCTTTGTCTTTATTTCTTAAGGGGGGTCAGAACCCCACCAATAACATCAAGGTTTGAAATTAACGACACTTTCTCTGCTAATTTAATGCTGAATAAATCTCTTGAACCTATGGTTAACCATTCTGACAAACAGCTTGTGTTTAAACCTGAGGTTCCTGATGCTTTTTCTCTTTCCACCATGTTAGGTGACAACCATCTCTCCAGCATGGAGGTGAATTCTTCCAGCTGTGACCAACCGCTTGAGTCAGAGGTCTGCATCCATCATCAGTCCACATCATGCACAACCCTGCTTGTTTCACGGGGCGAGATGACAACATCAGCCGCCGTGACTCGCTTGTGGCCTCCAGACGTGGCCATCCTACCATTTGAGGGGTTTGTGCCTGGACATCTTGACCTTTCTGTGAATGACCTTGTCATTTCTCAGTTCGTGACCTCTGCTAATACGGTGGCCAACTCTTTTCTTCTTTCACAGGGGTGTGACTCTGTCTCTGGCCTCTGTGCTTTCTTTCCTGTGACTTCTCTTTCAGGTGACCACGACGGCGCAGAAAAGCCTGCGGTTTCCAGTAGTCCTGTGGTCAGTGGCGATATTGAGGGAGTCTCGGTGGTTGCTGCGATCACCTCTCTAACGGGCACGGGGTGGCCTCCCGGCCCGGGAGTAGTAGGTGCGTGCAGTGATGCTCTGCTCAGGGCCCCACCTGACAAAGGGGGGGTGCTGAGTGGCACTGAGTTTTCCATTGCGGACTTCAACCCGTTTGGGGGAAACCCTCCTCCGAGTGGGCGGGTCATTGCAGAAATCGACACTGACCTTCCGTCACTTCAGCTGACAACTTTGACCTCCGACCCGGAGATAGGTGTTACACCTTCTAAGGGGCGGAACTTTAGTCAGTCTGTAACTACTCTGGTTAAGCCGGGTTTTCCTGTTCCTGTGTGGGATCCTCCATCATTCTTGGGAAAAAAAGTATTCTTGGCTTCAGTTTTCAGGACAGAGCATGTTTCTAAAGCTAGCGACATGTTTGTATCTGATTCTACACATGGCTAGGTTTGCTTTGACACCTGTGACACAACCATCCTTGGATCACTCCTTTTCAGAACCTCCAAGTCCAACACCTCCAGGTCTTTGGACATCTGCACACCTGCTCTTTCAGCACGATCCTGGTGACAATGTGCATGTCTTTGGTGAACAGGCTCTTGGGAGCCTAAGAACTGTTGTTTGTTATGCTTCTCCTGTCTCACAGACATGGCATAAGTTTGAGAAACAAAAGGGGGGTGGGGAGCCTCCTCCTGTTCTGCGAGCATCGTTTTCGCGTCTCCAGTTCACTCCAATCTCTGATCACAACAACGTCGCCTCCGATAAGCTGATAAACAACCATGAACAGGTAAAATCAGGTTCTGATCTAACAACTAAACCATCCGCTTCACTCCAGTTCCAAACGGGTCCCACAGGTAAATTCAAACAAGTTTCTCTGTGGGTTCGTAACACTAGATACAAACCACATGATGACCAAACCTATTATGACACGGCAAAGGGTCAGCTCTGGATTGGTTTAGATCGTATCTCCACAACAGGACATTCTGTGTTAAACTGGGTGATGTTTTTTCTTCTTGGGAGGGGCTCCGCTGGGGGGTCCCGCAGGGATCGATCCTTGGTCCTCTTTTGTTTGCAATTTATTAGCTTCCTCTGGGGTCAATCTTTCGTTAACATGTCCTATCATTCCATCTGTATGCTGACGATTGCCAGATTTACTCTCTCAGGAGAAAGGTCACTCTATCCAGTCCTTTGTGTCCTGTGTTAACGAGGTGAAGTCTTGGCTAATGGCCAACGTTCTGCATCTGAATGAGGGAAAGACAGAGCTCATTGTTTTTCACCCCAACAGCAGGAATGTGGATCGTTATGTTGATCTTGGGCCTCTTTCTCCCTACTCAAAACCAGTTGTGACCAGTTTGGGGGTGAAAATTGATGCTGGACTTAAATTTGATGCTCACATCAACTCTGTGATCCGGTCCAGTTTCTTTCATCTGAGACGCCTTGCAAAAATTAAGCCCATGCTGTCAAGAGCCCACCTGGAGCGGGTACTGCACGCTTTTGTAATTTCTAGGCTTCGCCTACAGGTTGTGCAGAAAAGCACAGCCAGGTTACTGACTGGGACCAGGAAACGGGACCACATCAGTCCAGTTCTGGCCTCCCTGCACTGGCTTCCGGTTTGCTATCGTTCACACTTCAGACTCCTCGTCTTTGTTTATCATTTCTTCCAGGGTGGTGCTCCCCCCTATCTAGCCACGCTCCTGAACAAACATTCCCCATCACGCGCTCTGCGCTACTCTGACCAAGGCCTGCTCGCTGTCCCTCGTTCTAGGTGTCATACTCGCGGGGACCGGGCTTTCTCAGTCCTAGCACCATCACAATTTGCCACCCCTCAGTTAGGCTGTCCCCATCTCTGCCAGTCTTCAAGAGTCGCCTAGAAACCCACCTCCGCTTGGCGTTTCCTGAACATGTTTGAATTTGGCCCTCTTTTATAGTGATTTTATCTCACAGTTTTCAATGGTTCACTTTTTCCCTTGTTTTACACATTTGTCTTCTACTAAAATGTTTCACCTTTTTTTGTAATCGGTAATTTGAATTGCCTTTATTTTCTGATTTATTCACTTTCTTTAACTTTGTACTGTACCATGTTCAGCGCCTTGGGCTTCCTGACAGGGTTGCGGAAGGCGCTTTATAAATAAAGCTTTGACTGATTGATTGATTTGAAAACCTCTCTCACACACCTGCTCTATAGAAAACAAGATTAAATAAGCATGAATATTTTCTCCCACAGCTCAGCTCTGTTAGAAATAAGCTGGATGATGTCAAATATGAATTGTTCACAGATAACAGATGTTTTACAGGTTTTTTTTTTTCAATTGCTAAAACTCAAAAAGCAAAAAATGAGGCACAGTTTTCACAACCTCTACTTCAGTTCCCAATCCCTTGACTCAGTTTATCACTACTTAAGATTTCCTTATCATATTAGAACTCTGATTTTCCTCCTTTATGCTCTGATGTCACTTTCACATTTCCTTGCTGTCAAAACATAGCACACAATTCCCAGGTTTACACACACTTCTCACAGAAAAACTCAAAGCTTTAATCAACAACACACAAATATTCAAATCTATAAACTTTTGGGTCTGGCGAGATATTTGCAATCAGCGACTGCAGCATAAAAGGAGGCTTGATGCTCTGTTTTGTTTGATGAGCAATGGAGAACAGAGACAACAGACAACAGAGGAGGAGAGGGGTACGTATGGGAGAAAGAGGAGGAGGAGGAGAAAGAAGAGGAGGAGGAGGAGAAAGAGGAGGAGGACGGGGAAGGGGAGGAGGAGGAGAAAGAAGAGGACGGGGAATAGAAAGAGGAGGATGGGGAAGGGGAGGAGGAGGAGAAAGAAGAGGACGGGGAATAGAAAGAGGAGGATGGGGAAGAGGAAGAGGAGGAGGACAACAAGGAGAAGAAAGGGAACGAAGAAGGATAATCCAAATCTCCAGTGAGTTTCGTGCCACTGTATTGAACCATGTGCTGAACCATGGGTTGACCATGAGGAATGCTGGTCAGAGAGTCCAGCCAAACCTCAGCCGTTTCACAGTGTCGACCATGTTTAGTCTCAAAATGTGTGTGATGTCTACTGTTTGTCTATGAGAGAAGTGGGCATCGTAATAGATTCAGTGTGTTTCATTTCTCTAATTGTGTTTTCAATTTTGCTCTTCAGTGTTCTTTCCATGCTTGGTAGTGTTCAGCCGAATGAATGGTATGCGTGTGTCATGTGAAAACATGGCTGTGTTTACCAAATGAAAACACGTGTTCCATTTTGTGAACATGTTATGAGATTTGATGGCAGAGTTGTTTTGCAAAGGGTGTCGGTCTGTGCTGAGTCTAACTCTGTGTTGTGCTGAGTCTTTTCTGTGTGCAGGTGGGTGTGCCTGGAGAGCAGCTGCTGCCTATCTGCTCATCAGTGGTCAGGAGATTTAAGGAGCTTCGGGAAAACTCATCAGTGCCGGATGATACTCAACATTGGGTAGAACTCGTGCTAGTACCTTGCCTGAATCTGAAAATTGTTTATCTCTTGTGTACCTCGCCTTCCTGAACTTATCTGTCCTGTTCTCCTCCGACCTCCTCAGGAACTTCTCCTCCATCAACCAAACCTCCATCATCTGGAAAATGGACCCACCGGATTCCAACCCAACCTGCCAGCCCCGTCGCTCGCCCCTAACCGCCTGCTCTCCAACCCCCACCTGCCAACCTGGACAACCCGAACTCTGGTGCTCAGCTCCCAGCCATACTTCGGACTCTCACTCGACCAGCTCAGCCAACCGTGACTTGATAGAAAACGACGACATGTTTCTAAATATTGATATGGTCAACCTATCAACACTGGAACGTGTGCAGATATCACCTCAGGATGAAGCAGGTCTACAGGGTGCCATTAGATCGCAACTCAGAAAGAGTCAAAGAATTGCGATATAACTGGGTGCAACAAGTGAGTCCTGCAACTGATGCATACACTCAACACTGTGTACAGTAAATTATACATATTTCAATATTGTACTCATAATGATTGTGCTTCACAATAGTGACCACTCCACGTTTATTCTGATATTGTCATGTGTGTTTCAGAGAGTACTTGAGCTAGAGACAGCTGAAGTGGAGCACCAGCTCATCTTCATTGATGAGGTTGGGTTCAATCTCACAAAAAGACGAAAGAGGGGAAGGAATATCATTGGCCAGCGTGCCATTGTTGAAGTCCCTGGCCAGCATGGAGAGAACATCACAATGTGTGCAGCGCTTGGCTACCATGGCATCGTCCATCACCATGCTGCCCTTGACCCCTACAACTCCGCCCATCTGATCACATTCCTGGACACCCTACACAACACACTCATTCCACCAGACCAGGTCGATGGCCCAGAACATCCCAGGTACGTTGTCATTTGGGACAACGTAAGTTTCCACCGGGCTGCGGTGGTTCATAACTGGTTCACTGGCCACCCACGCTTTTTAGTTGTTTATCTCCCTCCATATTCTCCATTCCTCAATCCCATTGAGGAATTTTTTTCTGCATGGAGACGGAAGGTGTATGACCGACAGCCACAAACCCGGGTACCTCTTCTCCAAGTTATGGAGGACGCATGTGGAGATATAGCAGCTGATTCTTTTCATGGCTGGAATCGCCATGCTAGGAGATGTTTCCCCCGCTGCTTGGCCAGGGACAACATTGCTTGTGATGTGGATGAGGCGCTGTGGCCAGACCACAACAGGAGGGAGGATGCAGCATAGTTTTCTTTTTTACTGTAACTGTATACAGTAAATTCTTCTGTTGGATGTAGTTTATGTGTGCAACTTTGTGTTGGTTGGTAATGGGATAAGCATTGTGTACAATGTTTTGTGGGAAAATAAATCATTTCTACCATGTGTTTGTGTGTTCAGAGTGTAAAAACACTATTCTGAAATAACACGTGCATGTATATACTGTCTGTAGTAGGTGTGACACTGACCCAAAAAGGCTTTAGTCATTATGATGAATGGAGAAGACGTGTTTTCCATTCATCATAGTGTTTCACATTGAGCACACAAGTGTTCTGCTGGTTCTTATAAATGTCTGTTCATGTGATGGTTTGTGTGTCGTTTGACAACAAAATCACATTTTGAGGAGAAATATCATTTTGAATGTGAAGTTTCATTTTGCAGGTTATTTGAGGGGTTTTGCCCATTGTGTGTGTATTTTTGGATTTGTGTGTAGAGTTCTGAGAATATGAGGCATGCTTTCAGGAAATGTGTGTAAACAATTGAGAAAAACTGTAATACGAAGCTGTTATCTAATCTCTGCAATAAAAGTTCCAATCTTCTGGTTAAACAACATATCCATAAGGTTGATTTCATATTTGCTATGGAATTGCATGTCTTATGGCTTATTAAATAACATGTAAATTAAACCATTACATTTCTAAGGTCAGGATGTATGTGAACATTACTGAGAATTTTGATTGGTGTAAATAAAACACAATATTATTAATAACAAGTCTGGATGCTGTCATGGTGAGCATTGGTTTTGGACCTATATGCAGGTGAGTGAAGCTCTGAGGCAGCAAACTACTTAAATCCATTCATTGCAGGGACTTGGGAGCGCAGGAACAACAGGAACAGAAGCATGTTGACATGGGGAGACATAAGACAAGGACAACAGACAAATCAACAAAAGATAGGAACGACGGGGCTTAAATACACAGGAGCAGGTGATCAGGTTAACAAGAGGCAGGTGCAACCAATAAACACAAGGGGAGACGAGAGGCAACCAAGGCTGGGAAGCAGAATGTGACAGATGTGGGTCGGTCTGAGGTATGAAACTCAGCCCTGGGCCTAAAGCCCTGCAGATAAAATTAGTTTCTATAAACAACAACAATAAACAGCAGCAGCTGGATTCCATTTTGTTCCTTAAATTGAGTCACGTAGTTTAATGAGTTCTGCACGCTCACGTGTTCAACAGCAGCTCTGCCAGCGGATTGGTTCTTTAGCAACCAGTGACATCAGTACAGGTCTGGTACTGAGCAGCATGGATGCATCAGAGGATTTAGCTGTAGTCGGTGTTGAAAATGGTTGATTCAGTTCAATTCAGTTCAAGTTTATTTATAAAGCACCAAATCACAAGAGTCATCTCAAGGCACTTCACAAAGTAAACGTTCCAATCCAGGTCAGGTCATTAAGCCATTCAGAAAAAAGTTTCCTGTATAAGGAATCCAGCAGGTTGCATCGAGTCACTGACTAGTGTCAGAGTCTTTACAGCAATCCTCATAATAAGCAAGCATGCAGCGACAGTGGAGAGGAAAACTCCCTTTTAACAGGAAGAAACCTCCAGAGGATCCTGGCTCAGTATAAACAGCCATCCACCACAACTCACTGGGGATGGAGAAGACAGGTGAGGTTGGTAAATACTTGTGATGATGAAATAGTTTGACTTGTGTGAAAATGATCATGGAAGAAGTTTACACTGTTACTTTAGCTGGACCTCGATCTTTTTGGTTTTTGTTGCACCTTCTTTTCCTGGAAATGAATTTTTCATAAAGGAATACTTGTATAAATATTCCAACACCAATACAATTAGTTTTAAAGAATGTGCTCATATTGTTGCAGATTTACTAAAGTTGTTTAAATGAATGTACCATAATTTGGAGACAAGGTCTTTTTGTGTTTGTTGGGGGGTGGGGGGTGGGGGGGGGGGGGGGGGGGGGTGATGAACCATCCATGCAGGGACGAAATTTTGATTTCAGAAGTGGGGGGGGGACACAGCAGGCTTGTGCGGATTTGGGGTGGGGGGTGTTATGTAAAGACCCCTTGACACGTCACGTGCCCATCTCAATAATTTTTCCATCCTCTCTCTCTCTCTCTCTCTCTCTCTATATATATATATATATATATATATATATATATATATATATATATATATATATATATATATATCAAAGTTAAAAAATTTACAACTCTATTATTATTTTTATTTATTATCATTATTGAAGTGCAGTTTTGGCTGTTGACAATGGATAGGCCATTGTATTTATTGTTTTTGGGTCTTTTTTATTGTTTTTGGTGCAACATTTTCTAACAGGGAGTGAGATTCCTTTTTTATTCAATTTTTGTTTGTTATTTTTATTCATTTAGAAGTTCTGGTTCTGGACATTTCAATGTTAAATGAAGGTTTATTTGTTGCATTTTAAAGGGTGTACTTGCATTATTATGATATATTAACATTATATTAGTGGTTATTTTGGTCTAGATAATGTTGACAATATCGTTTATCATCAACAATTTGTTGGACAAAATATCGTCAAGCAAAATTTGTTTCTTTCCCAGGCCTAGTCAAAAGTATAAAAATTATTTATACATAAACGGTCCCTCCTGAGATCTGGCCGTTTGTTCATTTGCTGTGTTAGAGGACATGCTGAACTAATGTTTTACACATGATCATCACCCTAACATTTGAGTGTATGAAAACATATTAAATATGTTTTTTCCCTTAAAAGTGTTTAAACAGTTGTTGCATTTCAACACACAAAAAATAAATGGAAAAAATAAGATAAATCTAATGAAAAGTGTACATCTTTGACATTAAGCTTAAAAAAATCTGTTGACGATGATGATACTGTTCATTTTTCAGAGCTTTTTAATGTGAAAATATACATTGCAATAGATAAGTTTACAATAAAGTTAAATGATAAAAGTTTTGAAGTTACACTTCTACTACTACTACTACTACTAGTAATAATAATTATGATGATAATAGTAATAATAAAAAATAATTATTATAATAATACGAACAAATTGTGTCTGAGGAGTCAGTTATGTGGAGGAGATGAGTTTGTAAAAGTTAGTTTTGAGTATGTTTGTGAAGGAGGAGGTGAGTCTGAGCTTAATGCAGGGGTGTCACATGTCCAACTTACGTTTTGACTTTGAAAGAAGTCTCTTATATCCACTTTTCGTTTTCTTGACATGCTGCCTCCTGGCTGTGCCTAACTACCAAAGACTCACAAATGAACACTTATTCAAATGTTATGTAGCGTCTAGTTGACGATGTGACTCAGTACCGGTGTTCCCTAGCGGCTCCAAACTAGCAAAACAACGTGAGCACGTTCTGACAGTTTACTACTTGAGTGACAGCAGCAACAGCCAATAATACGTTAGCAAGTATCAGCAGAGCCAATAGATTAGCTTTTGGGCGGGTCTAATAGTAAACCGGTTTCCGTTTCGGTCCTAGTGCTCAACCAAATCCATTTAATGGAGCGTAACATTGATTTTGGACGGAAAAAAGTGCAGGGGACCAAAACTGCCTTTTGAAAAAGTGGGGGGGACATGTCCCACCCGTCCCCCCCCAAAATTACGTCCCAGCATCCATGTATATAACTTAACGTAACTAAATATTTCAGGAGTTCTGCTAGAATCTGGTTTAAATCAGCTCTATTGATCAGATATTCAAAACACAAGTGTAAAATGGTGACAATGAAAATGACCATCATGGTGGAAGTTGATTTTAAAGTAGTCGTTTATTTTTTACTGCCACCTGTGTACTTTACAGTTCTGCATTCCTCATATTGCATAAAAGAGCCTCTAGGCTGTAGTTTTTTACATATTTTTTTACTAACTGTGAAGAGCCCCCCGGCCGGTTGTGTCCCCCCTGCCTTCTGAAGTCAAAACTACGCTCATGGGGCTAGATCATGACTGCAGGAGTCCCCTGGGCATAAAAGGGCCCAGAGCATTGGATGGACTTGGTACATAACCTGAAGAGAATACTGTTGGATTAACAATATGATAAACTGACTATAGCGTGTTACTAATAGTAATGTGTCAGCGCTCTGAAAGTTCATCAAGACAGCGTGAAGGAGAAGTCAGTTCAAAAGGCTCTTTATTCACATGAAACCAGGTTCACAGAAATCCAGAACGAACAGAGCCGATCGGGCCACCGGCGCCTCCAGAACTTACATCAGTGCTGCAACATCAGAGAACAAACGGGTTAGAATAACATGCATCAGATGAGCTGCTGCCATTAATGAACCATGTGGACTCACAGTGTCCAGGAACAGGAATGTCACTGAAACCCTCGCTACCACACACGTTTTATCATACTTGTTACGACTTTAGTCCTGCTTCACTGGTTTTAGATTACACCAGTGGTGAGGAGAGTAAGCTGATATAATTTAATCCTAGTTTGATGATGAGACTGAAAACAGCACATCAGATACGAACCTTAAAAGTCCAGATCCCCACGGCTCCGTCCAGACTCACGCTGCTGAACTTCTCCACTTTGCCTTTCTCCCCCGACACGATGCACAGCTGCCTGCAACGGTCACAAACACAAGACAACATTTTTATTATTGCTGCAGATGTGGTTGCTGTTACTCGTGACGTTTTGACACCAGCCACTAGAGGAAGGCAGTTTCCATGTCTGCAGCTCCAGTCTAAAGGGCGGGGTTTCTCACATGATGCTGTTCTGGTGGAGCGTGTTGAGCTCGTTGCTGTCCTCCTCTGTGGCCTTCTTGTCCAGGTTGCGGAAGTGTTGCATGGCTGACATGCTGCCCTTAGATGTCTGCTTGGGGATGTCCAGCTTCTTCACAAACTCCAGAGCACCAGGACCTTTATATGTGAACTGGTAGGGGCAGCAGTTGTGTCCCTGAAGGAGCAACAGATCGATGACTCTAAACTCCTCAGTCAGAGGTCTGAGATGATCTCCAGGATTTGCCCCAATCCAAAGACTTTACAGTAACACTAGTCTGATGTTTGGCTTTTGGCTCAGTTCAAACACTAAATACTAATATTAATAATAATCCATCAGACTTATATGGCGCTTCGTGGGACACTCAAAGACGCTTGACAAACGAACAAAATGGACATAATTACCGCAGCAACGATCTCAGTGGGACTGACGAATAGGACACTCAGGAGTGGCAGGTGGTCAGTGGTCAGCTGGGTCACCCTGAGCAGGAAAGGAGGGGGTAAACCAGCCGATTAGCCTCATGGTTTCCCTTTCATTTGCATCTTGTCTAAAATGTGATGGAGGGAGAATGATGAAAGCAGCACTCACTCCTTGCCTTGAGCTGCATCCACCACACTGATGCTGCTGTTGTGGGCCACCCAGGCCAGCTGGTCTCCACTGGGGGAGAAGGAAACTCCGTGTACCCACCCACCACAGTCCTTAAGCTCCAGCATCACCTCCCCGAACGGCATCTTGGAACCCCAGGGCGTGGGTCCAGGTTTCTCCTCGATGTCCTTGATGTAGGCTGAAAAAACCCTGAGAACCACAGAAACGTGTCTGAAAGCGTCCGAGCTGTGACTCACTCGACTGTCACGAATAGTAATTATTTAACACCCATGTCCTCGTCTTATCTTTCATTGTACCATTTCTTTGTTGTTTTTAGTTTTGTTTCTTGTTCTTGTTTTTCTCCTAATGTGGGTTATCTGCTGTTAGGACTTTAGAATAGTTGAGGATAACCCACGATGAGTAACGAGCGACGGGCATGTCTGCTCTGATGGCGACTGGGTCTACAAAGTCTGCAGAACATCAGAAAAATCTAACTAAAATTGAATACACCAAGAAACGATCACAACGTGTCCATGTTTGAGGACCTTCAATAGCTTTGAACTATTTGTTGAGAACATCCCTTGATTCAGTCTTCACTGGCCAAGTCCCAATTCTCGCACATACACCGTTGCATGTTTCCATCCAGGGGTACGAGCGCGTAGGGCAGGGCTATTCAACTCCGGGCCTCGAGGGCCGGCATCCAGCACGTTTTGGTTTTCACCCTGGTTTAACACACCGGATTCAATCAACAGACTAACAGGCTTCTGCAGAGCCCGATGAGCTGCTGCACAGGTGATTCATCAATCAATCAATCAATCAATCAATCAATCAATCGATCAAAGCTTTATTTATAAAGCGCCTTCCGCAACCCTGTCAGGAAGCCCAAAGCGCTGAACATGGTACAGTTGAAGGTAAATATATTGAATAAATCAAAAATAAAAGCAATACAAATTACAAAAAAGGTGAAACATTCTGGTACAGGACAAATGTGTAAAACAATGGATTTAGTGAACTAATGAAAACTGTGAAATAAATTCAACATAAAAGAGGGCCAAAATCAAACATGTTCAGGAAACGCGAAGCGGAGAAGGTGTGTTTTTAGGTGACTCTTAAAGACTGGCAGAGAGGGGGACAGCCTAACTGAGGGTGGCAACTGGTTCCAGAGTGACGGTGCTAGGACTGAGAAAGCCCGATCCCCGCGAGTACGACACCTAGACCGAGGGACAGCGAGCAGGCCTTGGTCAGAGGAGCGCAGAGCGTGTGATGGGGAGTGTCTGTTCAGGAGTGTGGCGAGATAGGGGGGACCACCACTGAATCTAGTGTGTCGGAGCAGTTATGATTACAATCATGCTGTGTAGGGATCGGGACAGGGCCATATGGGCCATTCCCATCTGTACCTGGTCGGCCCTGCCCTGTTTTTCAGGGTACAATGAGACTGTTTTTCAGCCCTCTTTCTGAGGTGGTCTGCTTCAGGCTGACCAGGGCCAACACACCCACTGCTGACTGATAAGCCGGCTTATCAAATTCACACCTTCCATTAGAGCAAGCCTCTGACTGGTGGGTAGAATTAGCCCACATGGGCTTATCATGCTGATTACCTAGAAGCTGAAAATGTCTCTGACTGCATTCCTTGCATACTTAAGCAAAGATGTGTGAAATCAACCGGGCCAGGCTGGGGCCGACTGGAGCTAGCTGGGCAGGCTCGGCCAGGTACAGATGGGAATGACTCATTACATTCACTGCCCACAGCTTTGGAAAATCTACTTAAAGAAACGTGAGGCCTTTTTGGGAATGGTAAGTCAGGACCACTTCACCTCTGAAATCCTCCCGACCCAGAGTTGTCCTCAGGCTCAGCCCTGAAGCCAGTTTCACAAACAGGGATCAAACTTCTGAAATTGTTGGCCAACTCCACCAAAACAACTCTGTCTTGTGGAGCTAGTTTGGGCTTCAGAATGAAGTTCTGCTGTCCAATCATCACATTTAAATGGTTTCCATGGAGACCCAAATAAGCCAATGGCAGTTAGTTTTGTTTATCTCATTTCTTCTTACATTTCCTGTTGGATTTTATCATTTAACTAATTTAAAACAAGTCTCAAATTACCTTCTGACTCCACAGAAGAAAGCTGATGATTGTTGGGCAGCCTTCAACATTTAAACTTTCTATTTGTCACAAATAACTAACATTTCAGGGAAGGCAGATTTAAGAGTTTTGGTTAAATCACCTGCAGTGAAGATCTGCTGACCCAGCGGCTAAGAGGATGTTGTTAGGATGCCAGTCCAGACTCAGGACTGTGGAGCACATTGGCTTCTTGATGTGCTTGCTCAGCCACCTGAGAAGAATGAAACCTTGCACTTAATCTGACATAGATCTGTGTAGATTAGATAAATCACAAATTTATTAACTGCTGCTGTGAGACTTTTAGATTTTTAGATCATTCCACCCATTTCCACGTTACCTGTCACCCGTTACCATCCCATGGTGTTTAATATGGGGTGCCAATTGTAAATGACTGGTGCACATTATTAAGCAGACATTTTTTGACATTTAGTAAATTTTTCCAGCATTTAGCAACTTTTGTCACATTTAAAATGTATTTAAATGTCATAATTTCAGCTAATATAAATAAATCTAAACTTAAACGTTAAATATAAATCAGAATGTTAAATCAAAAATTTAAATATAAATATAAATGCTAAATCTAAACCTAAAAGTAAATGCTAAGTGTAAATGTTGAATATAAATGTAAATTTTAAATATAAATGCTAAACCTAAATGTTAAATCTAATGTAAAGGCTGATGTCGTCGGGGTGAGTTCTCCCGTCGCACATTCCATCCTTGAGTTGTTTTTCAGGAGAGGGAGGCGCCCAGCTGCTTCTGGTTAGCAATCAACGGCACTGGTTTCTTTAAGAGCTGGAGAACACACCTCGACGCAGAACAAAACTGGATACTGTGATGGAGGTTCCATACAGTGTTGCAGAGGTGAAATCAGTTATTAGACAGCAGATTCTGGATGAATGGCAAGAACAATGGATACGGGAAGTGAAAGGAAGACATTTATACAAATTAAAGGGAAAGGATGGAAGAATGGAAATCATTCAAATGAGTGACAGAAATCAAGCAGTGATAACAAGGATGAGACTGGGACATACAGCTTTGAACAGTACACTTTTTATTCTTGGACGGCATAATACTGGGATGTGTGACTGTGAACTTGATAGGGAAACAGTAGAACATGTATTATGTGCTTGTAGAAAATATGTGGGTAATAGGAAACTGTTGGTTAAAAATTGGAAGTTAAAGGATATAAGGAATTTGAATTGGGTATTCTGTTAAATGGGGGACTAGTGGTGTATAATAGTGATGATGACGTGAAGCCTTTTGAACCAACAAAGCTTTACAATCCAATTGTATTGAAAAAAGGTTCAAGGTTCAATGCTTCAAAACTCTGGGAGGACATCTGCTGGTTAATGTTTGTGTTTCATTGTATTGTCAGCCAATTCTACTGAAAATGAATGGTTTATTGAACTTTATGGACAAATAAAGCATTAAAAAGCTTCCTCAGGATCATATAATAGTATCTTGAATTTGAACATTACATTAAATATACTAAAATTGCTTTTCTTGGTGTGAATACTTGAAATGAAACAATGTTTATTTTTATGGGCTACGTGATGAAATATATCTAATTTACACATAATAACATTCTCTACATAATATTTTACTTTTTACATTTCTATTGGATTATTAGGGAGGAATAATTAGCTCAATTTATGTATCTTTTTTAGAAATAGAGTAACAAAATGAAGATTAGAAAATTCACATAAGGATAGGACATACTAAATTCCATTACACGTACAACCAGACTGAAAAGCTCATCAACTATTATATTAATTACCAATAAAAGAAGAAAAATCATACCAAACTAGATTTTAATTTAATTAAAGGAAAATGACAGGCGGTCTAAAAGATATAGCCCTACAATATGCACCAAGTATTACGACTATAAAGGTAATTTACTAGACTAGACCAAATACATTTTCAAATCTTATTTGGAGAGATTAAAATGAAACATTCCCACATCTCAGAACGCCCTCTTTTTGCTACAGGGTCCATTTTTGCGACTCGGTGTTTTATCACTGAATACTGAATCCTGAACCGTCAATCTCAGGTCATACAAACCAGTATGGCAGGCCAAATGATGAGCATTTATTCTGATATCAGGATATCAGCCAGAATTGTCATGAACATGTAAGCCTTCTGTCCACTAGTTAACTAGTTAGCCATGTTTGTGTCAACTAGTTAAATGTCGAGGGTGAAAATGTGCCCACTAGTTAACTAGTGACAGCCGAAATGCGCACTAGTTAACTAGTGAACACATTTAGGCTTCAGTAGTTAACTAGTTGGCACAAAAACTGCTCACTAGTTAACTAGTAAAAGCAGAAATGCATACCAGTCAGCTACTTGAAGGTAGTTGTCTCACTAGTTAACTAGTGAGGGTCAAAATGTGCACACTAGTTAACTTGTGGTAGACATAAATGCACACTAGTTAACTAGTGAACACACTGAGCAATACTAGTTAACTAGTAAGATATGAAACATTTTAACTAGTTAACTAGAGAGAATTTAGGCCTTACTAGTTAACTAGTTGACATTTAGGCTGTCACTATTTAACTAGTTGACACAAACATGGCTAACTAGTTAACTAGTGGACAGAAATGGCTTACATGTTAATGACAATTCTGGCTGACATCCTGATATCAGAATAAATGCTCATTTGGCTTGCCATATTCCTGCGCCTCTCGGTTTGCGTTGCTTTAAATGTTTGAAACAACGTGTGAAGCGGTCACGTGGGTGGAAGGGTGAATGAAGCATCGTTGCTCATTGGTCACGTGACTTTCAGTAAACAAATCAAGCTCCGACACAGTGCTTTGCTCTGCGGTGGTTCGTTTTGGTGATACAAGCTTCGAATCCTGCGTGTCACAGGTAACATCACTAGTGTATAAGTTAGTCATAGACTTTTTAAGGGACAGTGGATTACTTGTTAGAATTTAGGTTTTTTTTTAAGTAGGATACTCCCCACTTGGACTCACACTTCTATTCAGTAGATGGCGGAAATGCACCTGAAAGTTGGTTGCCACCCGCCATTAAACAAGAAGAAGAAGAAGTAGAAGAACCTCGACGCGGGATGATTACTACTACCCGGTAGATTCCAGCCTCATGGTGCTTTGTTTTCTTGAGCCTCTGGTGATTTTTCTGGATTTATATGCTTTGTGTTTTTATGCTCGCACCTGCTTCAGGAATTTTGGAGAATCTCTGTTGAAGGAACTCTTTGGATTCTCTAAACTCGTCAGGATACTCACCGCCTCTACATAACCTTCTGGACACAGCTCCCCAGTGTTCTCCATCTCTCCAGTTGCTCCACTTCTCTACTTCCCACACGCTCCCTCTCCTGGATATAAACACCTCGACTCACCCAACTCTCGACCTGCCCCTCCCTATTCCTCCTCATCTCCTTTGCCCAACCCTGAGTACGGACTTTATTCCATCCACTGGAAGCTCCAGTGCGCTTTTTGTTCCCGTTTATTAATAAATTCCTTATTTTGATCATTATTACATGTGAGTGTGTTGATTCTGCATGTCCTGGGTTAAACTCCTTCCCCAGACCATGTCAGAATCATCCCGCCAACCCGCTAACCCAACAGACTCAACCCTCTCAGATCTTCTTCAGAGGATGTCCCAACAGGAGCATACATTACCACTGCTTATGGATCAGCTCAATGCAGCCCACAATCATTACCAACAGTTGGAGGCCCTGGTCCGGCAGATCCATCACCGGGTTACGCAGCCGCAGCCACAGACTTCAAGGTTGGAACCTCAAGCGGCCGCTCCTGTTGCCTCCAGACCGGGAGTTACTGTTCCCACGGAGATCACCCATTTTCGTCCAGCCGTTTCTCCTCCTTCACAGACATTCAGCGGTGAGTTTGAGGAGTGCCACAGCTTCCTGCTCCAGTGGCGGCTTGCGTTTGAATGCTCACCTGGAGCCTTTCCCACATATTCAAGTAAGATTTCTTACGTTATTGGACTGCTACGTGGAAGAGCACCTCGACTCACCCAACTCTCGACCTGCCCCTCCCTATTCCTACTCATCTCCTTTGCCCAACGCTGAGTACGGACTTTACTCCATCCACTGGAAGCTCCAGTGCACTTTTTGTTCCCGTTAATAAATTCCTTATTTTGATCATTATTACCTGTGAGTGTGTTGATTCTGCATGTCCTGGGTTAAACTCCTTCCCCAGACCATGTCAGTTAAATCCAAATGTTAAATGTAATCTAAATGTAAAAGTTCAATGTATACCCAACCGTTAAATCTAAATGAAAAACTAAATGTTAAATATAAACCTAAATTTAAATGTTAAACGTAAACGTTAAATCTAAATCTAAATGTTAAATCTAAATAAAAATATAAACATAAATATAAATGTAAATGTTAAATCGAAATCTAAATGTTAAATCTAAATTAAAATCTAAATGTTAAATCTAAATAAAAAACTAAATGTTAAATATAAACCTAAATATAAATGCTAAACGTAAATGTTAAATATAAATTTAAATGTTAAATATAAATATAAAGGTAAATGTTTAAATCTAAATGTTGAATCTAAATCTAATTGTTAAATGTATATCTAACTGTTAACTCCAAATTAAAATCTAAATGTTCAATCTAAATCTTAATGTAAATTTTAAATCTAAACCTAAATATTAAATCTAAATGTTTGAGCTAAATATTTCTGTTATATGCAAATTATTCGTGTGTGGCCGAGCCCACAAGAACGCTTGGCCAATTGAGCTTACTTGTAACTTACTTTTGCTGGACGCTGGCTGCACCTGTCCCTTATTTAAGCACATTCAGCCCCCAAAATAAAAAGGTCTGTGAGATAACTTTTACAGCCAGTTGCCAGTCAGTAATGCCACAGAGCATCATTAGCACTGCAGAGGGATTTTTTTTAAAGTTATCTAGTTAGTTCAGAAAACAGCCATTTTTATTTTTTACATAATTTTATTTGTAAAAGTCATCTCATTAATTTGGAAAAAGAGAGCTTTTAATTTTTTTCCATAAGCTAGAGGTCATGCTAGAATAGTAGACAGCTGTTTGCAGCTGTATTTGGTACTGTAAAGCACATTGAGTTGCCTCGGTGTATGAAATGTGCTGTATAAATGAAGCTGTCTTTGTAGGATGACATATACACAGATGCGATGATCCTCTCATCAGGGAAACGTTCAGCTTGATCAAACATCAGGTTAGAATAATAAAAATACAGCCTGTCACCCACAAACTGAATTACTCATCTTTCATTTTATCGTAAAAGTAAACGAGGCAGAGATTACGCTGTATTGCTGTTTCTGGCCAGCGCACACTCCCAACGCAGGGGAAACAAATTCCATCAGGGCTAACTATATTGCTACAACCACAGACATATATACATAGACGCCCAAGTGGACTGCCGTAGTGGCCGGCCGCCATTTTAGCTAGGTCTCCATTCACCCCCAATGCATTCATTTCTACTGAGGAAGGTGTTACCCAACTAAAAAACACATTTTATCAAGCTTTCTCACAAAATCAGACGCATTGTGTGGCATGATAATTAAATTGTAAATATAATAAATAAAAATAAATTAACATATAAAATCCTATCAGGTGGTCTAGAAAGTCACTAGTCACGTGATTTGTTTTCAACAGTATGCCAGTTCTTTTAAACATAGGCTACTGAGAAACGGGCATAGTTGCTCACTCTGCATTGACTTTGGAGAGTGAGGTGACCTAGCCCGGCAAGCCTGACTAAATAAATTATTTTTGACGGCTTTCGGTTGTGGGGCGTTGTTCTACCCTTCTCTTTCAAACGATCGCCGCATGCTACTGGACAATGAACATTGTGACGTGCTCACCGCAACGGATGTCGGTAAATGAGGCAGTCCGCAATTGAAGAAGGTGAACATGCATCCTTTTTTCTAAAAAAAAGAACTTAAATACATCTCTCTGCTCCTGATTCTAATAAAGGTGTCAGGCGTGCTAGTGAGTGAAACGGAGGTGAGGATCCACACGCGGGTGAAGAAGGAGGCAGGCAGGCAGACAGAAACATTAAAACAGGGATTTTAATCAGGAACACGCAGGACAATGAAACAATGAGCCAACCAGACAAAATGGACTAACAGGGTTTAAATACAGGAGGAACTGGGACCTTGGGTGATTGGGAGACGAGAGGCAGGTGGGAGCAATTAACATGGACATAGGACTGAACAGAATGGGGAGACAGGACAGGGTGTGACAGTACCCCCCCCCCCCCCCCCCCCCCCCACACACACACACACACACACACACACCTCAAAGGGCGGATTCCAGACGCCCACAGGAACACAGAGCAGGGCGGGAGGAGGGGGAACCGGAGGGAGGGCCGAGAGGGACAGAGGGACCGATGGAGAGGAGGCAGGGACCAGTAGAGTCCGGGGGCCTGCGCCTGGGGCAGAAGAGGCGACAACGGGCTCCTGGGGGCCTGCGCCTGGGGCAGAGGAGGCGGCGACGACGGGCTCTTGGGGGCCTGCATTTGTGGCAGACGAGGCGGCGACGACGGGCTCTTGGGGGCCTGCGTCTGTGGCAGAGAAGGAGGCGACGACGGGCTCTTGGGGGCCTGCGTTTGTGGCATAGGAGGAGGTGACGACGGCCTCTTGGAGGCCTGCGTTTGTGGCAGAGGAGGCGGCGACGACGACAGGCTCTTGGGGGCCTGCGTCTGTGGCAGAGGAGGAGGCGACAACGGGCTCTTGGGGGCCTGCGTCTGTGGCAGAGGAGGAGGCAACTGCGGGCTCTTGGGGGCCCACGCCTGGTGAGGGCAGGACTGTCGGTGACCTGAGGTGGAGACGCCGGAGGACACGTCGTTGACTTCTGGACTAGAGGAGGCGGCGATGACCTCAGGGCTGGAGGCAGCGGCGACGACCTCAGGGCTGGAAGCGGCAGCGTCGGCCCCTGGGCTGGAGGCGGTGGCGGCGGCCCCTGGACCGGAGGCGGCATCGTCGGCCCTGGGCTGGAGGCAGCGTCGTCGGCCTCTGGGCTGGAGGCGGCATTGTCGACCTCTGGGCTGGAGGCGGCGGTGTCGACCACTGAGCTGGAGGCGTCGGCAGCGACCACTGGACTGCAGACGGCATTGACCATGGGACTGGAGATGGCGGCATCGACCACTGGACTGGAGACGGTGTCGACCACTGGACTGGAGACGGCGTCAACCACGGGACTGGAGACGGCGTCGACCACGGGACTGGAGTTGGCGTCGACCACGGGACTGGAGACGGCGTCGACCACGGGACTGGAGATGGCGTCGACCCCTGGACTGGAGGGAAGGTGGACCTCTGAACTGGAGGGGACGTCGACCTCTGAACTGGAGGGGACATCGTCCTCTGGACTGGAGGGGACGTCGACCTCTGGACACGAAGGAGTGTCGACCTCTGGACACAAAGGAGCGTCAACCTCTGGACACGAAAGAACGTCAACCTCTGGATACGAAGGTGCGTCGACCTCTGGACACGAAGGAGCGTCGACCTCTGGACCATCTGCTTCTGGACCATCGTCTTCTGGTCCGGGGGCGTCGACTTCTGGTCCGGGGGTGTCGGCTTCTGGACCGTCGGCTTCTGGACCGTCGGCTTCTGGGCCGGAACCGCTGACTTCTGGACTGGAACCGTCAACTTCTGGACCAGAACCGTCAAGTTCTAGACCGGAATCGTCGACGTCTGGAGTGGAGGCGGAGCCGCTGCAGGAGGGGCTGCTGACTTCTGGACTGGCCAGCCGGGAAGAGCCTCTAGGGTCACCGCTGGGACTGGGGCGGACTGAACTGGTGGCGCCGGAAACTGGGAGAGCAGGGAGGATAGAGTGTCCAGCTGGAGCTCCTGGAGACTGAGGCTCTGATGGAGTTGGGCCAGCTCAGCTTGGAGACCGGCAAGCTCTGCTGGGTGGACTGCGGGCTCGATCCTTTGGCCTGGAGACGAGGGAGCTGCTGACTGGACCGACACCTTCTCCTGGTGATTCTGGGAGGATAGGGTGTCCAGCTTGGACTCCTGGAGGCTGACGAGCTGACGGATCCGACCAAGCTCCGCCTGGAAACCGGCGAGCTCTGTCAGCTGGGCTGTAGGCGTGGTTCCTCCGCCTACTGATGATAGAGGCGCTGATTGGACCGGAGACGGGACTGCTGGTCTGACTGGGGGCGAGTCCAAGCTGGCGCACCGAGCTGGGGCAGCGGCGAGCTCGCGGCTCCGTCCTGGGACAAGGGGTGACGGCGGAGCCCGGCATCCTTCCCAACACCATGGGCCAACTCCGGGGGAGCACACAGCCAGTCTGGTGCCCACATAGCAGGAGCGGTCCATCTGCGCCTCCCCGTCCAAGTCTCCATCCGGCTCCGGGAGGGTGGAGAGGACCGCCGAGGCTGAAGTTCAGCGGCGACGTCTGCGGCGAGGCGACACCGGAGGAGGAGAAGCCGGTGGTTGGAGGTCAGGAATTGGAGCAAGCACTCCCAGGGGAGAATCTCCCCGCTGGATCCTTTGTTGGGTTGGCTCATTCTGTCAGACGTGCTGGTGAGTGAAACGGAGATGCGGATCCACACGCAGGTGAAGCACTCTGTTGCTTCATCCCGTGCACCAGACAAATAGAGGGCCCTGATTGGCCCACAAAATGGATAAAGTGCTGTGATTGGTCCAGAAAGCTGATAAATCACTGTGATTGGCCCCATCATTGTGGACCAATCACACTGTTCAATCACTGTTTCTAGGTCAACAGCAAGTGAAGTGCAAGTGAGCACAATTGGTCAAGCTTTGTTGTGGGTGCAGCCACACATGGCTAATTTGCATAAAACAGAAAGATTTAGCTCACAGATTTAACATTTAGATTCAAATTTAATTTTAACATTTAGGTAAACATTTAACTCTTACATATAACTTTTACATTTACATTTAGATTTAACTTTTAGTTTTAGATTTAACATTTACGTGTAGTATTTATATTTAGGTCTAGATTTAGCATTTAGATTTAGATTTAGATTCAACATTTAGCTTTAGATTTAAGATTTAGCTTAGCCAAAATTATGTGACATTTAAATATTATTTTAAATGTGAAAATAATTGCTAAATGTAGGAAAAATTAGCTAAACATAAAAAAACGTCTGGGAAATAATTTGTACCAGCATATTTTAGACTTGGCACCTCATAGATTAATGCTAAGACAAAGATCTGGTCTACTAAGTAAATGTCATTGTTGAGAGAGGGACGTCAGTCTGGCTCACCAGTCATTCTCCTTTTCAAAGTAGCAGACAGAGATGAGTCGAGCTCCACTGCCCAGGGCAAACTTGTTTTCCAGAGGAGACCATTTCACACAGGTCGCTGCACGGTTGATACGCACCAAGACCAGGGTGGGCTTCCACACGCCATCTTTCAGGCTCCACACGTAGGCATTCCGATCCGAGGCACACGTCACAATACGGTTGGACTCTGGTGCCCAGTCAACCCCTGTGGACAGTGGAAGAGCAGCCAATGAGCAGCTGTGTCTGTCACTAAATAAAGCCAGTGTTGGTTAACCCCCTCAGGCTCAAAATAAGTGTTGATAAAAGGACGAACAACTAAGTCCTTCAGGGAACTTCTGAGTTAAAACATGCTCATGAGACACGTATGTGGAGTAACCAGGTAGGTAGGTTTAACGTTGCTAACCTGCAACGCCTGCCTCAGAGGGTCAACAACAAGCAGAAATGTTTCTTTAGAATCTTTCCGTGTTTGGAAGACACACCTTCCACCTGTAGGTACCCCACCTGTGATACGCCCACTGTGCTCCGTCAGCTCATGGATCTTCATCCAGTCCTTGCCTTTCTTCTCATAGATGTTCACGACATTGTTGTTAGGACTCACAGCAATTTCTACGAGAGATACATCATTACCTCCCATCAGTGAAGCTGAACATCACCGCAGTAGTGATCCAGCTGCACAGACACGTAAAAGAAATATAATTACTGCAGTTTGTGTGTCCTGAACGTATCTACAGCAGAGAGCATGCTGATCCCTCTGTGCTCATTACTGAGACGTCAAAGGGCATGATTGAATATTTCCAGTTAGCCCTTCAGCTGGAGAATGATCATCTGTGTTGACAATATAAAATTGTTTTTAGTCTTTTTGAAGTTACAATATGTTTGTTCTTATGTGCAAACTGTATCAAAACATTTTTATGAATGTTGAGAGTTCTGACATGTTTGAGCGTTCTATATTTTCATGTTCGTGAGCTTTAGAATTGTGGTGTGATTCACACCAAAACTAATAAGTGTTCAAAACCAATGATTGTCCTTAAAAACTGGATGACAGGAAAATATTTGGGCCTTTTTAGGAGATGGAAACGTGGAAACACGATGGTGGTAGCCGTAGTTTCAACCGTGCAGCGGGTTCGAATGCAGGTGTTTGGAATCCAAACCAGCTGAAGAAATATCTCACTGGAGAGGAATGTCGCATGCGTGTGTGCGTGTGTGTGCGTGTGTGTGTGTGTGTGTGTGTGTGTGTGTGTGTGAGTGCGTGCGTGTGTGTGTGTGTGAGTGCGTGCGTGCGTGCGTGTGTGTGTTCTCCATCCCCAGTGAGTCATGGAGGATGGCTGCTTATACTGAGCCAGGATCCTCTGGAGGTTTCTTCCTGTTAAAAGGGAGTTTTCCTCTCCACTGTCGCTATTTGCTTGCTTAGTATGAGGATTGCTGTAAAGACTCTGACACTAGTCAGTGACTCGATGGGACCTGCTGGGTTCCTTATTTAGGGAACTTAACTAACTGAACTCACTGCACTGATAAGTGCTGGAGGGGCTGTGGGAGTTTACCCAGCGACGAGTCCACGTGTGTTTGTGGATCTGGAGAAGGCTTATGACCATGGAGCACCCTGTGGGCGGTACTCAGGGAGTACCGGGTGGATGTGCTGATCTGATGAAGTCGGAAAACAATTTTGATAACTGATCTTTGGGAAGCTATGAGAGTTAAAACTTTATTCTGAAGAAGCTGAGGAGCAGAATTTGAAGAAATCTTTTCTTGAGCGACATCTCCACAGCCACCACCAGGACCGAGGAATGACAAATTCTAAGCATAAAGCACTAGTTCCACAAAACACAGAGACTTTGACCCCGCGTCAGTCCCGCACACGGTGTCTGCTAACGCACAGACGACTGTCTGAATGCACCACATTACTGCGGTAGAGTTACTGTAAACAACTGGGACGGAGATATGGTTGCATCAAAGCTCTTTTGATCCGTTTCCTGTATTGATAATCAGATTTCTGTGGTTCTCCAGACGCATTAAAACAATTAGAAGAGGAAGGCAGCATGAGCAGGCTGCACCACTAACAACCTCTCACAGAAACATGCAGCACAGAACAGACTAGAAGAGAGTGTGTTTTTTCACAGGTGTGTTTCAGGTTACGACTTGTGCTGTTTTTACGTACGAGTCCTGTCTTTGTTCCAGGCGTGGCAGGAGAGAGGCTCAATACCAAAACTATAGAGGGACATGTCTGAGCAGAGCAGCAGAGATGGCTGGAATGTGGATGAGACGCTGCAGACCAGGACCAGGACCAGGATCAGGACCAGGACCAGACAGGAAAACAGGGACAGATCAGAACTTTTCAAAACCAAACTCAATGCTGTTTTATGGTTGATTGAAGCTTTAATTTAATTTAATACTTTTCATCTTATTTTAGTGTCCACACATACCCTATTAGAGCAACACTGGAACAAGAATAATGTCCCAGGAATTAGTCTGTGTTGTATTTGCTAGTTTTGCTGGCACCTTTGTGTAATTTATACACAGTAAAGTCTGATACCTGTAGAATAAACTATCTGATGCTGCTCTCAGTGCAGATGTTTCCTGCTGCGACTTCATATCATGTGTTGTGTGGTTTTCTTCTTGACTGGACCGAATCTAACAATAACAGAGAAAATACTGTTTGGGATTGATACGAGTGGAAGAGCATTACTCACCTTTAGGCTGGTCACCTGAGATAGGAGCTGGTTCGTGGACTCTGGACAGTCGACACGAACAGAGCGGAACAGGTCTGAAGGAAGTGGCTTTGGTTTACTGAAGGGAGTGGAAGGAAGGTGGGTGTGACTGAGCAAACATCTGATCTGCAGCAGGATACAGCAGAGCTGCAGGAGGAAACCATTCCTCTCATGGGTCTGCTACAGGTGTGTTACTTGGATCTACAAACACAAGTCAGTCATGTTTTGGTGACAGAAGCAGGAAAATATTTGTTTACAAAACACATAATATTGGTCCCATCCGTGTCACAATGTGTTAATACGGGTGACTTTTTATATCAGCCTACCTTGAAATAATATGCAAATATTCAAAGAATATATCTGATGTAAGGTCAGATATTTGAACTTTGAAATGCATTAACTGTTTAACAGTTAGGATGTGTTGTCATCACTTATGTGCAGCATTAGTGATTATGTGAGCTAACCTGAGAATCAACCACATATGTCTACTCATATGTGCTGCAGGGCTGAGTCACCACCCCAGCAGCCTGCACGCACTTTACACGGTAAAGCAAAAACTAAACGTGTATATTAGGCTGTCACTCCATGAAGAAGAGAGGAAGTCATCAAATAGAGCTGTGTGGCTCTAAGCTACAGCTTCAGACACACAGAGGTCAAGGGATCAACATAAACTCAACCCAGGAGATGCCACTGGTAAAAGAAAAAACACGTTTCTTGGATAAACGATGAAGATGTATTTGAATTTTTTATTTTGACTTTGAAGATGAATCATATTTAAGTTTGTTTGTTCATATTTAACTAAATACAATCAACCTCAAAGCTACATTTTCTCAGCTTAAGAAAACCATGTTTTTCAAGCTGAGATGAGGTAAAATGTGTGTTGAATTGGTAAATCCATGTTTTTGGTTTGTTTGAGGGTTATCGACCTGAAGTCGTGTTCATTAAAACTAAAAGAAGGAAAGACGCAGAGTTGTCTCACGCGTTCTTCCAGGTTCAGGCAGAAAAAGTCCAAGATGATGATTGTCGTTTATGCTCATGGCAACTCAGCAAGAAGACTGGCTGGTGAGGACGTCGTTGATGCGCTGCAGAGAAAAGTGTGCTGCTGCAGAACCTGCTACTTCTATCTGATCATTATGAGTGTGAATTACATTTTCATCAGTGTAGCAGAATATAGTTGGTATATTCTTACACTTTATTAAGGTCTAGAAATTAATCTTACCTTAGAATCAGAAGAGGTTGTTTTTACCACAGGGAGTTTTATTCAAACACTTTGTATTGACTTAGAGACAAGAAAAGAGAGAGATGGGACGTTTAAGAATATTTATTTTATAATTATTCGAAACAATCACCAGGACTAACTCTCTAATGATGGATGAAGATGAATGTGAGCTGAAGTGTTGGTGTGTGTGTGTGTCAGTTCAGAATCTCCATCTGATGCAGGCGAGTCTGAGTGTAAGATGTTCTTTTGACTAACTAACCACGAGGGAATTCAGGAGGAAGAGACATGAAACGCCATCTATGCCGATCTACGTACCTTCGGAGACTCCCATGTTAGATCCGGAATGCCAGGTCCTCGGACCCTCGTTTCGGTGCTGGAACTGATAGCACAGCGTCTGCAGCACGACAAACCAGTCTACAGATAGACTCCCGGTAGCAACGGCAGGTGTCAGCGTCACGTAGAGAGTTCAGCTTTTATTCTGAAGGAACCGTCGTCTTGTTGATAAAACGACAGAATTTTTCCAGCTTGACAGTTCTCAGCTTAAAGTAGAAATTACAGCTGGCCAGTCTGCACTTCACTTAGCGATGGTGGATTTGAGAGCTGGTCGAGCTCACGTTAGAACTACGTTGAAACTTGCGGTGGAACTGTCAGTAAAATGGCATTGTTCTGTTTTATTAAACCCAGTTGTTTATAATTCTTGGCAAATCAGAGTGAACAGATTAAGTAAACACCTTATAACTCTGCCCCGCAACAGAACGGAAGTTCTGATTGGATGAGTGAACAATGTGTCATGTGTTTACCTTATGTGAGTCAGGATGTCTAGCTCAGTTAGTCCTGTGATTAATTAAACACATAAATCATACATTGTGATTTCACAGATCGGTCACCTGATTATTATTGACCAACAGTTGTTTTGATTAGCTTTATTAAAAATAAAGTTCTTTGATTAACTAATGAAAAGCGTTCTTCGTCCTTCTTCTGTCTTCTTTGCCGGAATGTAAACATCAGAAGCAAGCGCACGACCTTGGCAATTTATGCACACTGTCAATGTGTCAAAGGGCAGCTGTTAAGGGCAGAAAATAGCATATCCATAACGCTACATCAGTCTTCACTCCATTTAGCAACTGTTGTCAAATGTAACTATAGAAATATATTGTTTATAAATTCTGATTAGGCCTTAGGGGAAATGGTCTCATTACCAGCTCAATATTGTTTACATGCAAATACTTTTGTCTTCCACATAAAGGTGAACATATTTATTCCACCACCAACAGCAGCCTCCAGAATCATCTGTGAAGATTGCCCGGTAATTTAGAGCTTTGTTTTGAGGCTTAGAACCCTTTTGACAACAACAGCATCACTGCAGATCCGCCTGTTGAAAGAAGAGAAAAGAAACCACCTGTGCACCGACTCTGCCGCGATCTGCATCAGCTTTGTAGAACCAGCATTCATGTTGGGATCATGAAGTTTATTGGGTTTCTTCTCTATAACTGCTTGTATTTATGGTGCATCAGCACAGAAGAAGCTGTATTACTACAGGTGAAACGGTAAAAACGAGAATATGGAGCAAAAGTCCATAAATGTGTTATTCTCCAGCTCAGACTGAGAGACCATCTAAAGCAGGGCTATTGAGAGGGTGCTCGCTGCAGAACCACAAAGGCGGAGCTGCATCATAAGGTGGAGCTGCACCAGAGTCAGCCCCGCCCATTCACGCAAACTCAGCCTAGCCCACTGACTTCCGTTTTTGTTTTCAACTTTATCGCAAACTGACCTGACCCACATGAATTACGGCTGTTACTAGTTTACAGTCGTTAATGCTATGTTCTATGCTCCAATTAAACAAGATAAATATAACTTGCTACATGACAAAGACTGAATATATCTCGAAATGAAAAGGTTTCTTTCAGCAAATATCTGCCCACAGCCGGTCTAACAGAAATGGTGTATAACAGCATTACAGACTTTTGAATGGGCTTTGGTAGTCTAGTGGTGAGATCGTCTGAGATAAGTTTTGCTTTCCCCTCAGCTGATGCTGGTTCGATTCTCGGTGGGGTCGTCAGCAATCTATTTAGCCAGCTGAAACATTTAATTTGTTTATATTTTAGTTGTAATGTTTATTTTCAGCAAAATATTTATGTCTGTAAAAGTTCTTTGAATTTGGTCGTTCCTAAACAGCATTTTAGTTGAAACTCTGCTCACAAATGGACTCACACTGGCTAAATAAACGAATAAATAAATAAAAAAAACACATTAGTCATTATATGTTAAACTGTATACCAGTAAATTGTTGTAAACATAGTACTGGCAAGTGTAGCTAGAAATGAAGAAAAGAGGTTGTACACTACCTAAAACTTACAGTAATGGGAGGCGAACCTGCACAAAACTGCATGTAAACCTGACTCCATAACCACTACACCACCACATCTGTTATAACTCATGCGGCGTTACATCTAATTGTGCTGCCTAGTGCGTCTCTGAGATGGGTTGTATGGTTTTTCGGCGGTGTCTCAGTAGAGGTCATTTCAGAAATAATTTGTCAGAAAATTCACAGAATATCCAGATTTGAGAACCAAGACCAGACCCACTTCGGGGGAGGAGACCAAATTGAAGCTGAGATGGGAGGAAAATGCATGAATGAGGCTAAAAATTGCTTTGACATGCTTCTTATGAGGAAATGACAATATAACATGATTAAAAGTTCCAAAAGTTAGATTTTCAATTATATGGAACCTTTACAAAAACTGTTCAATTAACTTCTCAACTCCATCCTCAATCTTGCATTTTTTAGCTATAACACCCTCTTTGGTTCCAGAATGCTATCAAGTCTGACAACTGGAAGGAATTGGACTGACTCTGATGGAATGGGCAGGGCTGATTCTGGAATGGGCGGGGCTGACTCTGGTGCAGCTCCACCTTCTGGTGCAGCTCCGCCTTTGTGGTTCTGCAGCGAGCACCACTTGGGGCTATTCAACTCTGGGCCTGGAGAGCCAGCACGTTTTAGTTTTAGCTCTTTTTCAACACACCTGATTTGAATCAGCAGGTGATTAACAGGCTTCTGCAGAGCCTGATGAGCTGCTGCACAGGTGAATCAACCACTGAATCAAGTGTGTTGGAGCAGAGAAACCACTAAAACATGCTGGATGCCGGCCTCCAGGACTGGAATTGAATAGCCCTAATCTAAAGGCTCAGGAACCCTCTGCAGGTGTTCTGGGTTCATCAGCTGATCAGAGTGACACTAATAGCGCTTACACATTAGCGTCGTGTAATGAATCAAAAGGGTCAGCTTTCACCATCGAATTGACACAGTAACCTTTTATACAGAGCTGCAAAGTCAAGGTTACACCAGCTGGAGGATCCAGGCGCACAGATCAACCTTTTGTTCACTTATTGTTCTTCAACGCAGACATGAATAAACTGTCAAGGTCTCCCCAGATGCAAAAGCCCTTGTCTCTCTGCCCCAGACTGCTGGATTCCTCACTCTGAATAAAAGTGAATCTACACAAATCCTACAAGGCTTTACAACTTATAAGTTAAATAATCATGTGGTTGAATGAACAAGATGTTTAAATGAAACGTTTGAATAATCTGTGCTTACATTAATGAAGTTGAAATGAAAATTGCTCTTCCATTGCAGATCTTATGATCAGTATGTGCTTGATTTGACAAGTTAATCATGATCTACACTCATACTCATCTTCATAAGATACTAATTAAGGTTAAAGTTCACCTCACATAAGTGTTTTAAGCCATTCTCATTCACAGTGTTAAAAACATCTTTGTATCTGAGGAGGGCGTGGCTTTTTGAAGGATGTTGGTAAATACTCAGAAACTTGTCAAATTCTGATTGGCCAAACTTGGCCAGAAATCATAACAAAGTGGTTTAATAAAACAAGAATTA